GCTAGCCCCTTGCTGGGGGGAGCCATGTGCGTCCCGGGAAGCTGCGCTGGATAAAGGGCTCCCCCAACCCCGCTGCTGCACCCTACCCCCCCCCCAGACGCTGCACCCCAAATCTGCGTTCCGACAGCCCCTCCCACACATTGAATCCCCATTTTTCGCCCCTCACCTGAGCTTGGAGGGGCCAAAAAAATCTGCTATCCCAACCCTCCCCCCGCTGCACCCTACCCCCCCCCCAGACGCTGCACCCCAAATCTGCGTTCCGACAGCCCCTCCCACACATTGAATCCCCATTTTTCGCCCCTCACCTGAGCTTGGAGGGGCCAAAAAAATCTGCTATCCCAACCCTCCCCCCCAGGCTCTGGTGTGCGAGGGGAATATGGGGAATGTCTGCTTATCAAGGGTCACCTCAGTGAGGAGTGGGGGCTTTGTTTTTCGGGGGGGGGTGCTGACCACTTTTTTTCTTCCAACTTTTGTCTGGCTTCTGACTAATTTTCCTGTGTGTCAGTGGCCCCCAACCCAAAAAAGGTTCCCGTTCCCATCCCTGCTTTGTGGCTAGGTGTCTGCAAGCAAGGTGGATGGTAACACTGTGCTGAGGAGCTGCTGAGACTCCCTGGTGTGTTAACTTGCCCACCGTTGAACAGAAGACAGTGGGAGGAGGTGGATGAACAGATAACATCACGGCCAAAAGCTTGGGAATGGGCTGTGTTATGTGGTTTTAAGTCAATACATACTATTCTCTAGTTTCTTTGCATGGTAGAATGGAATGAGTTGAGCTGAGGATAGGCTTTGTGTTTTTTTAATTGATTAAGGCGTGGATCCAGCTTCCCTTAAAATTGATGGGAGTCTGATTAAGTTCTGAAAACGGCCCAGAGAAGCACTGTGGCTGCATTTCTCTTGTGGCGAAACATAGAGGAGCATGCCTTTCAGTTGATATTTGAACCATAATCTTGTTTTTTCTGTCTCCAAGCATCTGGGAACTATGGAATCACTTTCTCCTTGTACCCAAGAGCTAGTATCCCCTTCACTATGCAATATACTCAAACTAAGCATAAAGTGAGATGTAGCAAACTGTTATTTCTAATAACTTTCTACAAGGTATAAGTGGTAACAGTTCTCTATAATTTAGGTTGTCATAGAGTTTAATGTTTGGATAACACATTTCATCCACGGATTTCAAAGACTTTACAGACTGAGGGCATAATCTACCCAAATTGAAATCAGTTGAAAACTTCTGTAGGCTATGCAAAGTATGCAGATGAATGAAAGGCAGCGCAAAAAGATTATCAGCCTAACTACCTCCTAGTTGATGGTACTGGGAATATTGTTGGTGAGTCATATTCAATCAAACCTGGACCCCCCTGCAAAACTGATTAATTGGATTTGGGACTAAAAGGTACAAGAGCTAGTTTACAAACTTATCCATGTCATCTCTTTCCCAACCTGATCTCCTGTAATGGCTGGGCATGGGGAGGGAAGACAGTAGGGAATGTGTTCACAAATGATGTGTTTATGGAAATAATTAATGGCATAGTGGACGATGATTTGAACAGGAGGTAAGGACCTGTAATATGAAGCCAATCTGAACCCCAGAGGATTCAAATTATAATTACTTCAGAAACTCACTTGTATTCTAAACTGTGTAGCACAGGAATACAAGCAGAAAATATGCTAGTATTTCAAACCGTCTGTGATGGGATGTGGTTGCCTGTGGGGCCAGGTTTAGGAACATTATCTGAACTGGTGCTTGCTGACTTAGAACTCAAAAGTCCTAACTCAGTATGGAGATGGTACCCTGTCCATGTAGAGGGAACGAGTTGATTTAATTGGTATTTTCTGTTTCTAATTACTTTGGTCCAATACAGTCCCTTAGGAGTTATTTTTCTCTTTGTGTTGCTTATTTTCTATTGTTAGAAGGATAAAAAAAATGAAATACACTCATCCATGGTGGCTGCACTGGCTAGCAGTCAGCTTCTAAGTGAAATTTAAAGGGCTGGTTAACCAGATTTCAGAAGAGGGGATGCGGGCCCTGTTATTAATAAAGGAGGAAAGGTGGGGGGGGGGGGGGGAGGGTCTGTGACCCATAGGGAATGAGGAAAATTGTTATCCTTGAAATTGCCCCTACCCCTTGTCATGAGGGGTAGGAAATGTAGCCTGGAGCTGCTTTCCAGCATGTAAAATACAAGGGATTTTTTTTCCCTCCTTCACGATTAAGATTCTATTTATGTAGGTAGCCAGTGTGAAAGGAAAGCACCGTGAGTCATAAGTGTCACGGCAAGTTGACTGGGGTACTTGCACACAGACGAGGGGTAGGTGGATGGTCTGGAGAATCTTTTATTTATATATATACATACATACACACAGTTGATGTTTTGCTTTTATGTTATAGTGTAATTATTATTTGTCTTGTCTCCTTAGATTTATAAATTTGGACAAAGACTCTCTTCCTAAATGTTAGTACATAATGGGACCTTGAGTCTAGCTGGGTTCTTTGAGTGTTACCACAGTACAAATAATGATAATCAATAGGTATGTAAAAATGTAACCATTTAAGCTGTTTCCCTTACAGTTTACCTGCTGGCTTCCACTCTTGGGGAGCCAGCTGTCACCCAGCACTGTGGGCTCTGCAGCATAAAGTTATATTGCAGAGCAGTGTTTCCCAATTTTATTTGGCCACGGAACCCTTTTAAACTTGAAAGAATTTTGTGGAACCCTTAATAACAGTCTCTCATATTGAGCTGAAAAAGTAGACCACAAATAAGTAAGGATAATAATATGCAATGCTAAACAAGATCATGAGATCAACATTTAGTTTAATTGAACGTATTTAAAAACAAAATTAACATTAATAAATGTTATTATTTTTTAGTCATAAAATGATATTGTAATGGAAATTTCTCACTGAACCCTTATTTTCACTTTGTGGAACCCCAGGATTCCACAGAACATCATTTGGGAAACACTGCTGTAGAGCCTGCAGCAAAGCTAGCTCCCCAGAAGCAGAGCCCTCAGCCATTTTATAAGCTGGCTCACAGTGTATATCTGCTCCCAATTGCCAACCTTACTCCAGAGAGACACTGGGCTCTGCAGTATAAAGTTATACTGCAGAGACTTCAGCGAAGCCTCCCCAGGAGTGGTGCATGTAACTGCTAGGATTTTTGACAGTTAAACGGTTACATTTTTAATCGTTTTTTTTTCTCCCTAATGATCAGTGACAAAGACTTGTGTGATGTTGCTGTAAACTTCTTCAGTGATTGCCTCTGCCTTTGAGACTTTTTGCAGCACTTGCATGCCTCCAGGTCTGTGCCAAGAGTGATGTTTGAAGGGAATGGAGTCAGGGTCCCGTTGGTAGCAGGTCCTCGCTTCTGAAGCTCTTTCTCTCTGGTGGCATTGTAAGATGTTGTCCATGCTTTTGCACTAGCTGTGAGTTTCAGAAGTCCTTGGCAAGATTTCACTGTATCTCCTGTAAAACTGTAAGGCTGAAGAGGCTCAGAATATTTGCGTCTTCTATTTAGGAAGTGAAACCATGTGAAGTTCACACACACGTTATGGTGTTACGGATTACTGGTATAACAACATGATTTTGTAGGTTCAAGACGACCTTCACCACCTTAAGGACAAATTGACAAGCATCAACCGTGAACAAAATGGAGAGGGTGTGGATGTTCATGTTCTTGAAACAGCCATTGAAAGAACTGAAATTGGGCTTAGAGTAAGTACACCCACTATTCAAACAGAGCAGGAAGTACTTGCTGGTAGTGAAGTGTGTATCACTAGTTCAATGTAAATACATGGGTCTAAATAGTTGCTTCCATCTGTATTTTATTTTGGCACTGAACTGTATTTCAAAGCCATGATTGCACTTTTTGGATGGTCAGAGTCAACAAGCCTTATAGCTTGTAAAGTTATTCAGGATGTGCTACAATTACCCATAAGTGTCCAACCTGTCATTCCTTTTTAAATAAGTACAAGAGCCAGAATGTCAAGTTAATTGATCTAAGTGAATCAGCTGTGTGTTTCTTACTCCCCTTTAATAATCTTAATTTGGTTTTTCCCTCTCTACCAGAAACATGCTGAGAATTATTTAAATGCCATAAATAGAAGTGTGTTGACTATTCCTTATACTGATGAGAAAGAAATATATTCAGAACAACTCCCCAAATGGTAAGTAAAACCATTTTTATGGAGGAAACTAATGCAAGTAAGTACTATAAAAACTTTTGCATTCGAAAGGTCACCCAAAGAATGGACTTTATATACAACTTCCAATTCCTCTATTGGAAATGGAAGCAGTTGAGTATTTAAGCCCTCGGTTGAAACATTTAACTTGGATGATATTAATACATGACTGCTGTCTTCTAATTCCGGAATCACAAGTTTGAAAAAAATACCTTGCATTGTTAAAATTGTATTGATTCATGGATTGCTCTTCTGTATTACATAAAATGTCGAAGAACAGTATAAAAACAAAATGCAGTTCCACTAGGTTCATCAAGCTTTTCTGCTAATTCATTTTTACAACTACTGTATTTTTTCAGTTTTGGCTATGCGTAAATTTTAGTAAAACTATAGTAGCCAACCAGATGGAGGCAGTACAAGATTTATAGGTAAAGCCAAAGCAAGTTTTGTAACTTCTATTATTTCTGTTTCTTTCTATATTAGGAGGCTTCCAATTGGTGCTGCTCAGAAACAGTTTATTTTTCCACGTGTGCCTGTGAAGCCTCGGACTGTCCTGCCGTATGGCAGATCAGCACTACATATTTCTACAGGCTCGCAGGTCTGAAATAATGTGTTACTACTTTGACAGAGAGCCAGAGTAAATGTTGAAGATGAGGGTCAAAAAGTTTACCAAGAATACATTAGGTCTGAGTCAGTTAAATATATGAAATTGCTTAGCAGATACTCATATAGTTGACATTCTCCTAGCCTTCCTATTCCAAACTCCACACAGAGTCTCTTTAGGACAGGGTGGCCATTGGTGACTCAGGGTTTTAGAAAATTTTCAGAAGAATGACAGTTCCTCAGAGATGGGAGGCCCTTTTTCCTGTCTTTAGAACAAGGTAAGATCTTGGCTGTAGAGGACTTGAAAACCCACAGTTTTAGTGAAACATCTTATTTCATTCTGAGTTGTCAGTTTTGATCAGTTTTCTCACATTGTGGTAATTTGAAAACAATTATTTTTTAAAAACATAAGCTTTATTTAAAAAATCCAGTAACAAATTTGAAAAGTAAAATTTCTAGCAGAATAAAATATCTCTGAAATTTTCACAAATTTTAACGACGTTTTTTTGGTACGTTCTAGTCAGCATTGAGACTATTGGCTGAATATTGTCCTTTGGGCTACCCTTTATTTATCTGGTACAATCCAGAGTTGGCAGGCTATTTTGAATTAGTTTCTTAAATTAGGGAGGCATCAATTAGGCCATGAGAGCAAGTTGGAGAAGGAGCTCTGTTGGATTCCAGAACCCTAACAACAAGGTAGAGAACAAAGCTACTTGCAGCAGTGAACCAAGAATCAGCTGCCCAGATTTCAAACTGCTGGATCCCTCTGCAGAGAATTAGTTTATAAATTAAGTCTAAAATTTTCTTGTCACTGTAAGGTGAAGAAAATTGATCTAGAACTCTTAAAATAATAATGAATGTTGAAGTACATGACTCTGTTTAAAGAGGGATTGTTCAGTGACAACTGCAATTTAATTATCCTGGTTTCTTTCTGTTTTGAGATGCCGCATTAACATTACTCTAATACGTCTCTATGCACTAAAGTCTCATCGTTTACACTTGGAAAGGAATGTAAACTTCACACTTCTCTGGGGCTCTGTTGAACAGAACACCCACAAGACCGTGCAATTTGGAATGGGGGGAAAAAGTGCTGATGCAGAAAATGGTTTTAAGAATCTTTTAGAGAGAAAATACATTTTCCTAGAAAATGGTCTAGGGCTTGACTGTATAAATACACTTGTGTCATGAAATATTATCGAAGGCCAACTAGTGTATAATTCATGGTCTTTCAACTGTTACATGCACGGGTGAACTTAATTTAGAGCAGGACACATTCTACGTCCTAGCTTGACTTTCCCTTGGGGGGGGTTGGAGCCCCATTGTCCTTTCATTTCTGATATCTGTGACATCTGCTTAAAAATGCATATCCATGGACACACAAGATAGCCCTAATTTCCCATTATGAAGTAAATGACAAACAGTGCTGTTTTGCCAGCTGTTCAACATGCATGGCATGCTAACATAAAAGCTTTTATTATTAAATAGTTGTGGAATCCAGCTGGGAAATTACCACCTATAATTCCCTACTTTCTGTCTTTTAAAGTAGGTAATCCCCAGTTTCAACTATAAACTCTTTTTATGTGGAAAAGCAATGTAAGGCAAATAGTTATCAGTTGTTAAGGGTACTTAAGCATCTACAAGCTTAGTTTATTTAACCTGCTGGTTGAAGGAAACAAGTTTCGAACATATACTGGAGATTCTGAAAGAAAGAAATAGTTTCAGATAGGATTATCTGTGTGCTTTGCTATCAGTAGCAAGCTGCATGGTGGTAGATATGGAACACAAGCTATTCTTGCAGGAGTTAGCAGAAAACAAGATTGCAATGAAATAACACAGACTATATTTTTGCATACAGATTGTTAGAATTCTTGCCATATGCCACATAGTCTGGCTACAGATGTGCTAGTAGACTCTTGAAATTATTATTTATGTGCAGGTACAGTATTTCTGAATCAGGACAACAGTGGGATGCAATTGTGCTAGTCCAAATAATATGGAAAATCAGAATACATTGTCACCATTGTCATTCTTGCTTGTTGTAATTGCGTGGTTCTTCCAGGGAAGCCTGAGAGACTTACACACACCTCTCACTAGAATTATTTGGGGTGGTCTCTCTCAAATCCCCTGCACAGCAACGGTAGTAAAGACCTTAGTGTCTCTCTAGCTGGGTAATTCAGCTCAAACTTATTTAGAGAATATGCTAAGTTGAAAAGGCCTGAACTGATCTGTTTGTTTTTCTGTTCAAAAACTGCTTTGGCATCCAGGACTGCTCATGGTGGGGGGCAAAGGAAGCAGTTTTGCCTGGGTCCCAGTGATTCTAAGGTGCCTGGAGCTCCCTGCTGCTGCTACTATGGCATCAGAGGCTGGAGCCCCGGGCCCCTTTGAGTCATCTCTAGAATGTTGGAGCACTACACTGGGCACTCGGCAGGACTTTGAGGGCTGTGGGGTTGGTAGCCCAGCACTGCAGCTTGGGTGGAGCTTAGGGCTGGCTATCCCAACCCCGCCCCTTCCACCAAAAGCTCTGCCCTTTATGGGATGCCATACCACCCCACACACACATCTTGCCCTGGGGCCTGTGGTGGCCGTTGGCCCTGCTTGGTGGCATTCTGGATGCAATGTGGGTTTCCTGTTCTCTCATTAGTATAAATGAGAGTTACACAGGTAAATGAAGAAAATAGACTGGGTAGTACTGCCAACTAGGCGCAAGCTGTCTATTGTCAGGGATAAGAATTGGTTCAAAATAGACAAATATGCTTTGTTTTTCAAAGACTAATATGGTAGAGTCATCCTACGTGGTGAAGTCCACCCAGGCCCTCCATATGAGCTGAATTTCATGCAATCTGAAGTGACATTTGTACTGAAGTGCTCCTTCTGTTGGGTACAGAAATTGTGTACATTAGATTCATTTTAAAACAAAATTATTAAGAAACTAGTTTTACCTGTTTTCTGTCCTTTGGGATTGTCTTCCACACTAATTTTTATAAGCTGAACAACAAGATCCATTCCACACAAATGAAATGGGATGTTAAAAAAACCTTATATTTTAATTCTTGTTACTATAATGATTATTTATTTTCTCATCTACTAAGTAAAGTTCTACCTGTACTGTGTTCAGGCAATGGACTGTAACTGATCCAAGGAAGTTGTTTTGTTCCATAAAGAAAATCTCTGGCAGGTGTAGACATGATGGATTAAACTATTGCTGTAAATTATGTCAGCAGTTTAAACCTATCCCATAATCAGAGCTCACATTTACAGCATCCAGCTAACGTTCGTCTGATTCGGTGAAGTGCTTCAATATTTGCTTGAGGAGAGAATAAGCACAGCCAAATAAATCCTAGTGGCCAAAAATCCTGGCTTACTTTCTGTTCTGAACAGAATCTATTTATTGACACATATATACTTGTTCCCTCTAGTACAGCTGAGTACATTCATCAGGACTGATTCTGCATCCACCAAAATTAATAGGAAGATTTCTAGTATGGGAGGCATCCCATTGTCGTCTCTAATATTTGTAGTTTTTAAAATTCGGAATGTTTCTTTTAGTAAAATACAGTAAAGTCCATTTGTAGTTTCAATGACAGAGACTGTGTGCACCTATATCATTTAAATGGATCAAACCTAACACATAATTTTCCTGAAATTTAATTAATGTATATTGTGTTGCTCTAAAACTTTCAGGACATATTAAGTAGATCCAACAGAGATTGGTGGAATGACATTTGTGAATAGTTATTTTGACCTCTTCTGTGTCAATTGTCAAATAATCTAATCACAAATACATGTTTTTATTATTTGTCCAGTTCGATGGATTGTTGAATAACATTAATGAAATTATTTGAAATTGTATTCCCATTTATTGATTAATTTATTTGAGCAACATTCTTCATTATTCAATCACACTTTTTAAAAATATTTTAGTTTATATAGTAAATATATTTTGAGACAATGTATAGTATTCTTTTATGTCTTCATTTCAGCACAAGCTTGCAATGAATGTGAAAATCATGTATGACCCAGCGCATGCCAGTAACAGAGTTATTTTAAAACAGAGCTATGGAATCAGCTTGCCACTTATTAATAAGAGAAAATCAGTTCCTGTGAGTAATTTGTTTTAATGCCATTTTAAAAATAAATATTGTCCTTATTTTTACTTTTGGCTTTCATATTGTAACCTTTTACATAAGTGTATCTCACCCTCTCTCTCTTTCTCTTACTCTCTTTTTTTTAACTTTGTTAGTAATACTAAGATCATTTTAACAGAATAACAATGCTGTCAAAAACAGCAGCACTGTGTTTAAAATAACAGGGCTTGGATCCTGCAGAGCACTAGGGTACATCTACTTTGCACAGCTTTTAGTGACAAGGCTGTATCATTGTCACTAAAAGTCAGCACATGTGTGAACACTGATTGTTGGTACTTTTGCCAACAAAATACTTCCACCCCCTATGAGGGTGTTTTGCTTTGTCGGCGGGAGAGTGCTTTTGCCGACAAAGAAGCATTCACGCTTGCTGCAGCAAAACGTTGTCATTCATTTGGGCAGGGGGAGTTAAGCACCCGTGAATGACAGAATTTTTGTTGATCAAGTGCACGTGTATACATGCATACTTCCCTTAACATTTTGGTGTTATAATCTTAATTGACATTTTTTTAAAGTAACCCTAACAACAAAACAGTGTAATTCTAGAGATGAGTGTCAGTGAATTCACAAAGAGAAGGTCCCTTATTTAAACTAGGAAATCAAAGCATCTTAAACATTCATATGTTGAACAAGTATAAAGTGTTAAAGAGTGAAACCCAAAAATACAGCAATCTAGTTATATAGACTTGTATGCTTTAGAAGAATTCTTAGAGTAATATTAAAGTTTTCTTCACATAATTGCTATTAAATCCCCCCCCCCCCCCCGCTCGCCTTTTGTGGTCTCTGCTACTGGCTGATTTTGTACTGCTAGTTCCAAATGAAATATGTGGTTGGTTGATCAGCTCATAACTGAGTTTCTACTGTAGTAATTCAGAGCTGTAAAAATATAGTACATAGATTATGCATTCAAAACACTTCTGTTCAGCTTATGATCTTTCAGACCTCAACAAATCAAATGTCTTCTGTATTTTACAACTTTTTTTTACCAAGAAAAAAAAATAGCAAGATCACATTTCATACATGAGACTTGTGTTGTCAAGAATACATTACCCGTGGAGTGCAAAATAGGGATGTAAGCGACTAGTCAACTATCTGATAAGCAAGAGCTTATCGGATAGTCGAGTAGTTCCTTGACTAGTCACTTCCCCCCTTACTGCCTCTCTCTGAGCAGGTGCTGCGACTCTTGTACCTTTCGAAGGGAGAGGCGCAGTGGGATAGCAAGCGCCCCCCTTATCAACTGATGGAGTAGTCTATGGAAATTCCATCCATTATTCAATTAGTTGATCAAAATTTAACATCCCTAGTGCAAAATGCAAGCTTAGATATGCTTAGTTATATAAATGACATTACCTTAATACTATGATGATAATGTCTTTGAAATATTTACAACCGATTCTTTGGAACATTTTTAAAGACTATCATTCTCTTCAGTATTGTCTACTTATCTTTATGTGAAATTGTATTTTTGCAGTATGGCCATTGTAGATGAGCTGAAAGATTATGTCCTTATGTTGGACACCAAACAAAACAATTACGTTCATATCCCCGTAGAACAGAGTTCTCTGCTCCATGCTTAGTTGGGCTATAGTTGCAAGCTTTCTTTTTTCAGAATAGATGTATATAGGAAGATAGAGAAAAGTTATCATCAGCAACAATAACATTGCCTTTATTGAGGAGGAGAGGCTTATGTAAACAGATGTCTTGAGTGTACAAGGAACCAACATTAGATTTTGAGCTTAGTTAAACAATTTGGGTAGGGCTCAAGATGACTTCCTAAGCCTCTGAAACTATGGTCTGAGAAAACAAAGTCACTAATCCATCTGATTTGTGCAACTCGAGCGCCATAAGTTATCAAAGAAGATTCCCTCTGTTGTTGAATACTTGAGTGACAAAGTCCCTAAAGGAATGTGACGTAGTGGGGATTTTGTCGACTCTTGTAGTACTGTGTTCACTCTGTTTGCTTTGTCGTGCCGTGTGCGATTCCTACTGTCCTATGCTGCTCTGCAGTGATTCTGTGAGTGTGTGTGGTGCCCAGCAGGGGATGGGATCTCTGGGGGAGACTCCTGAGGGAAGGCACATAGGCAGTGGCCCAGGCCCACCTGTCACCTGAGCTAGGTGGAGGATACAGTCAGGTGACACTTTGCCTGGGAATCTGAACAAAGTAGGAGATGGAGCAGCTATGATCAGTTGCTAAGTGTGAGAGTTAGTGGCTGAGGGAGAAGGGTGTCTAGCTGGCCTGCAGGGCCTGGGCATCTTTTCCCCAGGATGGATTGTACTGAATGTTCCTAGTTCCTGTAACAACAAATCTGAGCCACGCTGTGTCCCTGTGAACCAATAAACCTTCTGTTCTACCTGCTGGCTGAGAGTCACATGTGACTGCGGATGGGAGAGCAAGGCCTGGCCCCATCTCCTTCTCCACCCTTGCAACTGCTGTTGGAGGTGCTCGCCTTTCATTCTCCATTCACACCTCATTCATTTCAACAGGACAATCAAGGAAAGGGGAGAGCTCTTGTTTTTTCTTACAAGATCTATATATCTTAATACAAAGTTAGAGGAGAAATGTTACAGAGATTCTATAAGAACACTTAACAAAGATATATCTAAAAGGACAAGATCTTAATATAAAGTATAATATTACAGGGAAAACTTACTCTCCTCTCCTCTAGCCCCAGAGCTATTAAAGGGGTAGACCCTGGCCACAGTGCCTGTACCAGCTCCAAGCCTGCCAGCCCTGACCCAGTGGCCCCAACACATGATCCAGCAAGCCACCGGCAGCCAGCACTCCACCACTCCCTATGCGCAAGCTGCCCGGTTCAGCCAGGCCTCCACTGTTCCCCAGGAGCAGTCTGCAGCTCCCAGGAGCCTGAAAGGGGCTGGAGAAGGCAGGTGCCTTCCTGGTCCAGGGTGGAGATCATGGACCTTATTCAGGTTGGGGGGGTGGGATGCCCCCAATGTCCATGATCTCCGCACTAGATGGAGGAACACGGCTGTCTGTGGCAGGATAGCTGCTAGCGTGGCCACCAAAGGCCACATGCAAACCCAGGAGCAGGATTGCATGAAAATCAAGCTGGTCCGGCAAGACCCCCAACCCTGGGCCCTGAGCTTCCCCTCCCTCTTCTTCCCCTTGCTTCCCCCTTCCAGCTCCCTCCTCCCAGGTTTCCCCCTCCCCTCTTCCACCCTCTCTCTTCCCCTCTTCCACCTCCTTTTCCCAGTCTCCCCAGAGATTCATCCCCCCCAGTTTTTTCAATAAACCCAGTTTCTATTTTTGAACATACGTGTCTTTTGTTTGACATCAGGAAGGGGGGCTAGGGAGGGGTAAGTGGAAGGATGTGAGGGAGGAATGGGGCACGAGCCCCCGGTGGGGAGGACTGGGGTGGCTCTAAGGGCTCCTCGGGGTGGACGCTCTCCCACAGGGCCTCCTGGATCCTGACAGCCCCCCGATGGACCCTCCGGATGGCAGCCTGCAGCAAGTGCAGCCGGGTTGATGGCAACGACCCCATGAGATGCATCGGCGTGCCCAGGGGCAACTCTGGATCCATGTGGCCGAGTGCTGTGGTGTCCCTAGTGCGGGCACTCGGGGCACTCCAAGAAAGGACTGCTTTGCTGTCCCTCATCAAGGTAGACAAGCAAGCAGGGAACCCTGAGAACTGTCTGTCCGGGGTGGAGGTAGGGTCCCTTTAAGCACGGAGCTCAGTTAGCCTCAGGAAGCAGCCCCACACACTAAGTCCTAACCTGATGCCCTGCCGGTACTGGTTCCGGCCAGTCTTAACTTCAGTTCAGGGTCCACTCACTGTGGATGCGCTATTTTGAAATAGCAAAACGCTATATCGAAATAGGTTTTGTGTGTAGATGTGTTAATTCAAATTATCTTAATTCGAATTAAGTTAACTCGAATTAACCCTGTCGTGTAGACGTACCCTTAGAGTAATTCTCTTATTGGATCAGTGTTTCTTAAACTGTGTGTGTCGCAACTTCTTCTTTGTTTCTGTTACTTTTTGTTCTTGTCTCTTTTTGCCTGACGACAATTTTTTTTTTGAAGAATATTTTCATAGGTGTTCCGCATAAAAAAAATTGTTTGGTGTTCTGTGGTGTCAATAAGTTTAAGAAATACTGTATTGGATGAAAATGGACACTTTGAAAAGAAGTGGCACAACTGCGTGAAATTAAAATTTGTCTCTCAAATTTCTGCACCTCTACCACTGTCCTTTTAAAATAAATGAATGACCTTTAACATGGCATTTTCCACCAATATCTTTTATATTTAATATACACAGATTTGTCACTCCAAAGATCAATTACTCACATAATTTTGATTCAGCGGTATGGACCACAGGGAAGCATATGCCCAATGTTCTCATACAAAACACTCTTTTACAATTTAATTTATGTAATAGAAGCATTATGCAGCAAGCCCTCTGCCATACGCAGGATTCTAGGGTGTTTGGTTTTAAACAACATAAACAGCATCTGTGAATGGCACAGTTGCGGGCTGACACTTATAAAAATGATTTTTGAACGCTGTTGCCCAGACTAAAAAGTGATTTGTCTAATCCTGTGATATAGAGTTAATTAGAAAAAAAACCATCCTGGTTAAAACCACTCTAAAACACTTCCACAGAAGAATATTACTCTGCTACAGAGTCGTGTGTTTCACCACTGTCGCTGAAACATGTACTGATCAGCGAAAACTTGTTAATGTTGACTTGAATTACAAATGTTAGTCTAAATTAGGGAAGCTGTTTGATATATACTAACAATTGCTAAGGGACAGTATATAGCATATGGTTTTATATATAAACATATGGCAGGGAGATGGAATAACCAAACAGGTATTTTCCATCTTCAACCTCTATAATTCTTCAGTAGCACTATTTAACCAGAAGGCTTTTTAAAAGTGTTTTATTTTGTTTTTTTAAATCTCAGGAAATACTCTGTTTTATATATATATTTTTAGAAGA